AAGAAGACATTCCTGGCACTAAAATAACATTTCCTCTGTTCATTAGTCATGTCCCCACGCCCCTCTTGCATTCTTTTTCTTTCCACTTTGAATTTTTATTCTCAAAAAATAGAAGATTTACTGTTATGCAGACTACTGCATTAGTGTAGAAATGGTATAAATAATATCGGCGCACTTGTGAAAGAATATTAGACTCGCCATTTGACGTGTATTGGATGCTTAGCATGATTTGTTTACTTTTGAACTTTGGTAAAAATCTAACATTTCTGCTACTTGGAGCTCAATTTCAAGGTATTTTTAATTGTAAAACCAGTCAAAATCATCTCAGTTTCTGTAATATGTCTTCCATTCTATAAAATGAGACCAGGAAAACTAGGAAACCGTACGAAAATAAAGTGCAAAGTCGCTGTTTTAATCCAAAAACACGGTCAAAGTTTTTTTTTTTCTCATTACACACTGTGATGCAAGACTTTTTTTTATACTGCGCACACTGACCACATAGACCCATTCTTTCATATGTAGGCCTACCAGCTTCCTCTCACTAGATTTGAGGGTGCTAGAATTTTGGCGTACTAGTACATCAAAAACCCTGGTGCGTAAGCCGTACTAGTACATCCGAAACCCTGAAAGGGTTAACAACCCTCCTTTACAGTGCCAGCACTGTACCTACCATCTTCAGGAATCAAGTCTGGCCTGCAGGTTTTCCTGAATCCCTTCATAAATGTTACCTTGCTTACACTCCAACAGCACATCAAGTCTTAAAAGCCATTTGTCTCCATTTGCTCCTATCTAACACACTCACGCATGCTTGCTGGAAGTTCAAGCCCCTCGCACACAAAACCTCCTTTACCTCCAACCTTTCCTAGGCTGACCCCTACCCTGCCTTCCCTCCACTACAGATTTATACACTGTCGAAATCATTCTATTTTGGCATTACCTTTAATATTTTAAATGTGAGGATATACTTTGGTAACAAAAGACTTACCTTCAGGTAGACAAGCATACTTGTCTGTCCACATCTCAGCCTGATAATGAGGCCATAATGCATCACTCATGCAAGGCTCTTGTCATGCCATTGCATATATATATCAGAAGTTGCAAATTAGCTCCTTCTCAACCTTTTATGCTTTACAGTATTTATCCAGTATTAGGCACATTTTTATACAATTATATTCAGTAGACTGTTATATTACACGGTTTTATATGGCACGTTTTTGGTTACTACACTATTGAAAAATTGCTGCGCAATTTTATGCAACACTCCGTAAAATTAACTTGACATGGTTCGGTTTACAGGAGGGGAAAAAAATTTGTGGCGTCACCCACAGGATACTTGTGATAAGGAAGGCCTGAAAAAGTGTGTTTGGCACTGGCTTGTTCCACAACTTTAAGTTGCATAATAAGATAAACAATATTAAGTTTTCTGGTGAAAGTGCTTCAGCTGATCATACAGCAGCAAGTTATTTCCCTGCTGAATTGAAGGAAATTTTTTCTGAGGGTGGCTATGAGCCACATCAAGTGTTTAATGCTGATGAGACAAGTGTTTTTTGGAAGAAAATGCCAACAAGAATTTAAATCAGTCAGGAAGAGAAAAGTGCACTGGGCTTTAAGACAGCAAAGGATCGCTTCAATTTTCTCCTTTGTAGTAATGCATCAGGTTATTTCAAGTGTAAACCCATGGTTATTTACAGTTCAAAGAATCCTCGTGCTTTGAAAGGTGTAGATAAAAATACCTTACCAGTAATTTGGAGGTCAAACCAGTCAGCATGGATGACAAAAAATATTTATTGACTGGTTTAAGCATTACTTTATTCCTGAAATCAAGGTTTACCTGTACAGCAAGAACCTTGCATTCAAGGCTCTCTTCATTCTTGATAATTCCTGTACTCATCCACACGCTTTGCTGGATGTGACCCCAAATGTAAAAGTTGTATTTTTACCTCCAGATACAGCATCTTTAATACAACCAGTGGATTGGGTAGTTATGTTATTCAAGTGTAACTACACAAAAAAGTTGTGAAAAAACTAGTTGCTTCAATGGACTCTGATTCCAGCCTGGCAGTACCAAGTTTCTGGAATAAATTTAACATTGCAGATGCCATCAGCTATGCTAGAAGGAAGTGCCCCAATCAACATTAAATGCAGACTAGGGAAAGTTATGGCCTTCTGTAGTTAATTCTTTCACTGTTTTTTCCTTGCTGGAGAGTCAGGTTCAGGAAATTGCTCGGCTGGTATGGAGATAACTGGGCGATGGTTTTGAAGATATGAATGAAGATGTGAATGAGCTCTTTGATGATGGTGATGAAGACGAAGACAGGAGTCCAGAGGAAATGTTGGCAGAGTTCGATGCACAGATACAAGGAAGCCACATAATAGAATAAGATGAAGAACCTGAAGAAAAACAGTCAACATTGCAGCAGTTACATGAGCAGTTCCATATTATTGGTAAAGTTGCAGACATTTTACTGAAAAGGACCCTGGCAAATCTAGAAGCAGTGCTTTGAAACTGGGTCTAGACCAGCTGATGATGCCTTACCTTCAGCTGTATAATGTACCGCAGGGTAAAAGAGCCCGGAGATCTATTGCAGAATTTATGCACACTCCAATACAACTGTCAACTTTAGTACCAGAACCTTTACCATCCACCAACAGCCAAATGCCTCAGCCCAGTAGGGCTAAACCATGCATCTCCACTCTCATCACAATCATCCACAAACACCAGCACCCATAATTTAAAGTAAGAAATACTGTTATTTTCATTTCATTTGTAGTCTTAAGCAGTAAAAACATAATATATCATTACAATGAACTGCAATTACATATTCACTTTTATTTTTGTAAGATCTGTTGGTCTAAAAAAAAGTTGTTTGGCTTTTTGGGGGCTCCCAGGAATGTAGCCTTATTTTTCCTGCAAGTTCTTCAGTTTATCTAACATGGTTTTACCTAACACAGCACTATCAAGAATGTAACTACCATGTAATATAATGGTCTACTATATTAACTAATAATGTACTGTGACATCATGATACTTATAGTGGGTTCACATACATAATTTTTGAGCATTACACAATCTCAGCATTTCTGTACTGCTGCTTCTGAGATTTCGTTTGGCACCATATTTTGTGGGGGTTGTTTCCACCATGCTTTTTTTGGGATGATTTTTAGTATTCAAGAATTCAAGAACATTGGTTTTATATAATAAAAAGAAATAAGCAAGAGCATCCTCTTTTTAAATATATATCCAAGTCATCATGGATGTTGTCTTTTGTCCTAAGGTATCTATCATGGAATTTATTACCATTTTGACATTGAGGGATTAATTCTTTGTATGGCTTTAACATAATTGTAGATATAAATTTAATTCTAATGTCTGTCCATTCCACATTTTCATACAAAATTAAATTTACCTCCAAATTGTGAATGGTTTGATCCATTAATTTTGAAATTCAAGTCATAAATTTCAACCAGGTTTGTCTCTACATGGTGGTCCGGTGAGCTTTGTATTTTATATATATTCTTTTTGTTCATAAGCAGATATGGTGTAAATTTAAAACCCATGTGTGTTCAATGAACAAGTTTTTTAAAAAAATTATGTATTTTCAAAACTTATTACATGTATTTTGTTGCTAGCTTATTCTCTACCATTGAGCAAATTAATGGGTTTAAATTTCATGTTTGGAAAAGCTTAAGAGATAGGTATGTACAAATGATAACTAGAGAAACTGGTGAAATATAGAATCCAACTTTAATTTGCACTTGTAAAAATAAAACTTTTATCAGATATCAGATGTGCATGATGGCGTAATTACAAGCTTCGGTATTTAAAACATCCCGCTTGTGTTTACATTGCCTTTTTTTTTTTTTAATACCTTCTTAAATTGATCCTTATTTTCTCAATATTAAAAAGGTACTGGTGAGTTGTATAGCATTAAGATTTAGTTTGTACTATTTATGAAGAATCTTGCATGGTATGATAGGAAAAGTATTTAATTCTAAACATTTATATAATCTTTTCTACTAAAAAAAGGTATTATATTCATTAAAAAATTAATTGATGTATGGTTTGAAGTGAGAGGATTATCTTGGTGAATTTGCAGGAAGCAAGAGATGTTCAACCAGAATAAAGGCAATTCATCTTCTACCAACCCCTTCAGGTAGCTGAATACAAACTGAGAAGTCTCCTTATGAGCTTTTAGACTTTCTGCTCGTGGGCTGGCATTGATATTTTTTCCTTTAATTTAATTTGATTGTATTTATTTAACTCCTGTTTGTTTCTCCATTAAAGGCAATGACAGTGCTTGCAGACACCCCACCCATATGCATTTGGGTGGGGTAGCCTGAGAGATTTTTATAGTATCAACTAGTACATGATACACATTTTGTGATACCCATGGTAACTGTTTGATGTAAAAATACTAGAATTCCTGTTTTTATATAATTGTGGGAGAGGAAGTTGTCTATGCAACTATTATCTACAGTATTAAACTACATTTAATGATTTTTTTTTAAAATGCTCTAATGAAAAATACCAGGAGGGTGGGTATCGTACAGGGTTATATCAGGTGATCTTCATGGATTTAAAGAATTATTGGGGTAATACAAGGCAAACTGGATCAGTTATAAAATAGATCCAAAAATTAATTTGAGTATCCAACAAATTAGAGAACTGTCACATACTGCAAGTTAAATTTTATAATCAGTGAATGTGTTAGTTGCTACTTTTGGTACTGCATTTTTATGCTTGTGTTGCTAATCTCATGGAAGGTCATGCAGGGGATAGTAATCCTTGAATGCTTCTCCATGAATGAGACTCAAAATATGTTTTTAGGACAGCAATGAATATTCTGTACACTCCTGTTTGAGCTGGAAGTAAACTGATGTGTAATTCTTAACCATGGGCCTAGTACTAAACCTTAAACTACCCAGTGACTTAGAGAGCATAGATACAGTGCCTGAATGAGCACCCAGGTCAAATGTCAACAGAAAAACCATAGTAGGACTTAAAAATGTCCGGAGGTTTAAATGAGTAATAAATGTACTTCCATATAAATTATGAAGATGCAAATACCAACTCTCCAGGCCCACTAGAGGCTTAGGTGGGTTAAGGTTATTTAATAGAACATCTTCAATTCTGGCCATGGTTGACTCAAACTCAAGAAAATGCCTTTCTGGTGCACTGCACAGGCTACACCAAATGATCATTAAACTTGTAGTGCACCCATCCTTGCCTTTGATGTATGGATGAGGAATTGGTACAAGCAACGGAAATTGACATTTAAAATGAAAATACTGCAGTGTTGGAATTCTAGTGGTAAGAGATCCAGAACAAAGAAAGAGCTTGTGGTTATAAAATCATACAATCCACCCTTTAACATCACATGGGAGAGAAGAATTTGACAGGATAAATGAGTAACTTGTAACATACAGGAGACTAATGTAAGGATACTGAAAATGCACAAATAGTTATAATGGGTTTCATCCATAAAGCCATAGAATAGTTATCCTATGAGGTTGAATTGGCTAACAAATAATCCACCAAATTAATAAATGTAATGACCAGCTTCTTTTTGCGCCACCACATCAGAGTTCTCAAAATAACACAATCACACTTTCCAAGTGGGTTTAGATAGTTTGTCTAGAATTTTTTTTTTTTCCAATAAATTCAAGATCTAGTGTTGTTGGTGTATTGCCATTGCTAATGCACATCACTTAAAGTGATGTGTATATTTTGAAATACGTAGTTATTTTGAAATAGTTTGTCATCAGAGAGGACTTTCAGGAAGACAAGGAGAAATGTATGCAAGAACAACTACCGTTGATTATAGTAAAGGAGAGTACTATGTACAAAACTAAGACATTTAAATAACTAGGAACATTTTAAAATTCTAAATATATACTCGCTGGAGTGGAGGAGAGAGATGCACGATATATACCTGGAAAATACTTGAGGGTCTTGTCCCAAATTTTCACACTGCCATAACATTCTAGAGTGGGAGAAATGGGAGGAAGTGCAAAATAAACTCAGTGAAAAGCAGGGGCATCATGGGCACAATAAGAGAACATTGTATCAACATCTGTGGCCACAGACTATTCAACATCTTACCAGAAGGTATCAAACACTACTGGGACAAACTCACTACCATTATAGTATGCTCCTCACTTATGGATGAATTAATTTAACGATGTGGTATCAGGAATGGAACTCTGTCATTAAGTGAGGAGAGACAGTATTCCTCTTAATAAATTCTATCGATTAGGTACAAGACACCGCCCATTTATCTATTTCAACTACAGTCTCTCATCACTTACCAACAGAGTTCCATTCCTAGAACCACATCAATAAACGAATTCATCGCTAATTGAGGAACCACCCCTTACTGATACTTCAAAAATGTCACCACCCAAAATTAAAACATTCAGTTTTATGTTTGCTGTGAAAATTCTTTCAATTCCTTTATTATTAATGGTAATACAACATGAAATAGGTCAGTAACTTCTGAGATATTCCAGAAAACACACGCATAGGTGATTTTTTTTTTTTTATAGAAAATTTTACTTTTTTTCAGTCTTTGCATAGGTTAAATTTCGGTTCTTCGCTTTCTTGTCAATTGCCCAGTTTACCAGTGAACCCGCAAGATTTACCTCCAACAATGCTGCCTCCCTACCACTCTTGCTTTATATTCCCTTCCTGCAGATGGCCCTGCCTTTGACTTACAATCACTTTCTGATTTTTTTGTCAGCAACTGTTTTACTATACGAACTTTGACACAGCCCTTAGCGTCCCTTCCAACCCTTTTCTCTCCTCACCTCTGACTCCCTCTCCACTTAGCTGTTTATAGCCTCAGCTCTTTTCTGCCCTGCAGTGCTCTATGACCCTTGTTGGTTTAGCGCTTTCTTTGATTATAATAATAATCCTGCAGTTACCCTTCAGGCGCATAACGTTTTCTGTAATAGTCGCTGTCACTTTATTTTTATCCCTCCCCTGCTCCCCACCCTTCAATACCTCTCCATATGTCAGTTTTTTCTCCATGGGGAAGTGGAACAGAATTCTTCTTCCTTAAACCATGCGTGTCGTAAGATGTGACTAAAATGCCAGGAGCAAGGGGCTAGTAACCCTTCTCCTGTATACATTACTAGAGTTAAAAAGAGAAACATTGATTTTTCTTTTTGGGCCACCCTGCTTCGGTGGGATATGGCCGGTTTGTTGAAAGAAAAAAGGAAGATGTCATTTCTTATTAATTTGAGTGTCCTTATCATGCTTCTATGTTATTTGTTATACCTGATATGTTTTGGAATGACTGTGATAGGTAGATAACCTTTATTGATAGTAATACAGCCTGTTAAAATACAGGCTCTCCTCACTTAACGACGGAGTTCAGCTCCTGAGATCACGTCGTTAAACGAATTCATTGCTAAGTGAGGATCATACTATAATGGTAGTGAGTTTGTGTCAACCATCTTTGATATTGTTTTGTCACCTTTGCACCTTTTATAACATTTCTGGTATATTTTTAAATGTTTATACAGTTGTGTAGTGTACGGTGGAACCTTGACTTAGGAGTTTAATCCGTTCTGTGACCTAGCTCGTAACTCGATTTGCTCGTACAGTGGACCCTCAGTTAACGATTTTAATTCGTTCCAGAGAGCTTGTCCTTAACCGATTTTATCATTATCCGATTTAATTTTCCACTTAAATAATGAAAATCCAATTAATCCGTTCCAAACACCCAGAAGTATTAAAAATTTTTTATTTTAATATGAAATATACATTTTCCTACACGGAAAACAGTGAGACATGAAGAATATATACTGTACATAAAAATAAATACACGACACCTGTATTGAAGATTTATTGATGAGTGATGAGATGGGAGGAGGGGATATGGTGTATTATTGTTTGGAAGGGGAATTCCCTTCCATAAGGACTTTAGGTAGCAAGTCCTTTTCCGGGGTTTCTTCCCATCTTTGTTTTTTAATGCCACTGGGAACAACTTGACAGTCACTGGACCTCTGTCACACCAAAAACATGTCCATAGAGCTCTTTTTCTGGCGTGTCTTCAAGATTTCCCTAAAATGGGACACAACATTGTCATTGTGAAAGTCACCAGCATGGCTTGCAACAGCTATGTCAGGGAAATGTTCATCCATAAAGGCTTGCACCTTTGTCCACATTGTATAAATGTCCTTAATCGTTGAAGAAGGCAACTTCCTCCATCTCTCTCCCTCCCTCCTCTGAAGCAGTTTCCTCAGTTTTGGCCTCTTGCTGTTGCAGATGCTCTTGCAGCTCATCAGTGGTTAGCTCTTCATCATCGTCCTCCACCAACTCTTCCACATCCTCGCCACTAACCTCCAACCCCATGGACTTTCCCAATGACACAATAGATTTCACAACTGGTATAGGCTCCTCAGGGTTAGCCCCAAACTCTGCAAAATCCCTCTTGTACACATTCTGGCCACAATTTTCTCCAAGCAGAGTTCAAAGTCCTGCAAGTCACTCCCTCCCAAGCCTTACCTATAAGGTTTATGCAATGAGGATGCTGAACTGAACTTTCCAGAACTCTCTTAGGGTCAATTCAGTGTCTGAGGTGAGGTCACTTCAAACCACTTTTGAAACACCGCTTTGGTGTACAGTTTTTTGAAATTTGAAATGACCTGTTGGTCCATGGGCTGGAGGAGATGAGTGGTGTTTGGAGGCACAAGTTTCACTTTTATGAAACTCAACTTCCCCATAATTCGCTCTTGTAAGTCTAGAGGATGACCAGGAGCATTGTCTAATACCAGGAGGCACTTGAGTTCCAATTTATTTTCCAGGAGGTATTTTTTCACACTGGGGCCAAACATGTGATAGAACCAATTGTGGAAAACGTCCCTAGTGTCCCATGCCTTATTGTTTGCCCTCCACATCACACACAGAATAGCCTTGATGACACTGTTTTTCTTGAACACACTGGGAGTTTCAGAGTGATACACGAGTAAAGACGTCACTTTGCAATCCCGACTAGCATTACCACAAAACACGAGAATTAGCCTGTCTTTCATAGGCTTGTGTCCTGGGAGTGCCTTTTCCTCTTGAGTAATGTAGGTCCTACAGGCCTGTTTCATCACAATTGAACACTTGCTGGGGTTTTAATTTTTCAGCCTCTATGTACCCCTT